TCGGCAGGAGGGTTGGACTAGATGACCCACAGAGGTCCCTTCCAACCCCTACTATTCTGTGAATTCTGTGAAACTATGTTTTCTGTTATTTAAACCTCCATTATGAACCAGGTTTTGGGTAGAGATTTTATACTGTTCAAAAAGTCTACAGAACAAATTGTAAATGTCACCGATACTCATTACTGTATCAGCTAGTGAAGTCTGCTCTGTACAACAACAGGCTGACAATGTAATAGTCTAATCATTAAGCACAGCGCTTTCAGACAATTTTTTTATTCCCTAGAAGAGACATGTGCTGTTCTAAGGAATCAGTGTCATAAGTTGGTTACGCTCTATTTTGTGCAAGGCAGACTACTTACTTATTTGATTTAAAGTTTCTTGGGGAATCCAGCTCATGTCAACATCATTCTGATTTGATGTTCCCATCTCCACTTTCTGTACTGGCCTTTTCCTCTGAAAATTCAAGAAAGAAGAAAGATTTTTCTTTCCGCAAAGTTTTAATAGCAAAAGTACTAGTAAAAATTAATAATGCTCTATTTAATGAATTGCAATTATTTCCCTAAGACACAAACTTAAGGCTAGTCAGTGTATGAAGCTGTCTTTGTAGCTTTGCTTTAACTGTCTACCACTAGCAATTTATTCACATAAGCTTGATATTACTACTTCTAATGCCTCACAATACTGATTCCACACATAGGTATCAAGATTTCATGCATGCCTGGGCAATTTCATTGTATCTCTTACGAAAAATGGCTGATGATTAATCAAACTTTGTCATGACCGGTTTCATTATACTTTCTCAGATTAGCACAGTATTCTCATATGTCACATTGCAAAATAGGTTTCAAAGCACAATAATCATTCCATACTTCTTCCCAAGGGAAGCGACTTCTGAAGTACTTTAAGCCAGACTGCATGAAGACATAACCTATGCATTGCATGCAGATGAAACTTCAGCTTTCAATGGTTTTTACTTGCCAGATAACTTCCATTAACAAACCCTTAGCTGTTCTAGTGTTATAAATGGAATCCAGAAGGCCCTCACTAACATTACGGGAAAGCACTGAACTAAATAAAGGACTAGACAGCCTGTTTCCCCCAGAGTCTGACCTAGGTCCGCAACAAACTTTTTAGTGGGGCTTGTTGTGACATGACAAGGGGTAATGGTTCTAAACTAAAAGAGGGTAGATTTAGACTAGACATAAGGAAAACATTTTTTATGATGAGGATGGTGAAACACTGGAACAGGTTGCTCAGAGAGGTGGTAGATGCCCCATCCCTGGAAACATTCAAGGTCATGTTAGATGGGACTCTGAGCAACCTGATCTAGTTGAAGATGCCTCTGCTCATCGCAGGGCGGTTGGACTAGATGACCTTTAAAGGTCCCTTCCAACCCAAAATATTCTATGATTAAAGTGGTAGATAGAAATAGATGAGGAAAGTCTACCCAATAAGTACTGAATCATTAACTACACACATCCAGTGACTGGGAAGTATCAAAGCTTCCAATTCAGCCACTTCAGTGTGGTGCCAAAGAGCAGAACCAAAGAGCATCAGGCAAGCAATCTAAATATCTCCAATTCTAAACATTTCCTAAAAATGCTCTGGTGTTCCTAGTAATCTCCAAGGTCTTAGTTCTAAAAGTAAATCTTGTAAAGTTCTACCTGTATCATTGTATACCAGAAGCAATTACTGAACTGCTTTCTTTTTGTATCAGTAAGGTCTTGTATTAACAATCACACAGACGAGAGACACTACCCACCTTCCTAGATTCTAGTAACTGATGTAGGCCAACAATGACAAGTAGACCAAGTCCAGCAAGGAACATGTACATGAAGATCCTTGAAAAAAAGTTGAAGAAACCATTATCTAAAAATCTTCAGTGTTTAAGAAAGTTTACAAAGAGGCATAGAAACTAAGCCTAGCTTTGGTCACGTGCCCACTTGATCTTTCCCAAGAACTTTTGTAGAGGGTGAGTGGGGGGAAAAAAAAAAAATTGAATCTGAAACTTAAGCGCTAACAAATATTAAGTAATTATTCTGACTTCTACTTCAGAAACTGTAATCCTAAAGTTAATTCTGAACAACAGAACATTTGAAAAATGTCATATAAATTGAGAAACTGTTATAAATCATTATTGAAATTTAGTAACTGCAAGAACTTTTTTGCAGTATCATGTTTCAAGACGTTGGGTCACAGGTAATATTTATGTTCATGATAGCTTTAACCACTTACAAAAATCCTTAAAAATGTCTTGTATGCTTTTAGTACGCTACTGCAAAGCAAGTACCACTAGGATACTAATTTATTGGCAGAGCTTTGACTGGCCTTGCTTATCATGCTCTGTGTTCCACAGTTAGAATTCTACCTATGCAAACAATCATTTTTTCAATCTGTGCATTTTGATTTTGAATAATTCTACCTGAAATACTTGTTGATACTTAGCAAGAGGTGAACATAAATTATACCTAAAATTAATCTGGCGAGCAGGCAGGAGTTTGCAGGTAAAGAATCTACTCCAAGTTGAACATCTTAACTCCGACTTATGACAAAAGAAGTTATGGAGTTAAACTACACAGGAGACTTAACTGAGCATCCCTGTTTTAGACTGATTATCTGTTCACAGGATATTTAACTCATATTGGTTCTAATAATTCCAATTCTTTTGAGAGCTCCTTTATCAAGAGTATCACACATTTTCATGTGACCAACTGTTCTTTCATTGATGTTATTCTATTTGAGAAATATGAATGAATGCAACAGCTATTTCTTTCAGCTAACTTTTTTTAAAAGGGAAGCTTGCTCAGCAGTCAGTTTCTGCCTGTGGCAGGAGAACTCAAATATTCCGCATTATCTACAAGTATTTCCGAAGATTATTTTTTTAACTTACAAGTTCTCTTAAAATTCCAATCCAGTGTTAAGAGTATTTAAAAGCATATCAGCACAGCATATGCTTGCAACATATAAGGTGGGTCAGATGTACTTAGTCTTTGAGACAGAAAAAAAACGCTCCTGAAAGATACCTGCCACGGGTTAGCGCAACAAGCAACAAGTGCAAGTTCCTCTATCTCATACTCCAAATACATCTTCCCATTTATGTAATCTTGGATTATACTGGAATGCTCCAGAAGCAAGTTATTCCAGTCTTCACAGTAGGACCCACAGCAAGTTGACTCAGCAAGTTATTCCAGTCTTCACAGTAGGACCCACAGCCCAATATGATGGACTTCTGTATCTTTAATTCTTAGGAAAAAGCATAGCAGCTTAACAGCTTTGAAGTGCTATGTAGCTGTATAACATCAGGTCCTATTCCAGGCTTAAGCCCTCTGGGCCAAAGCAGATGTGTAAACTGCTCACTGACAGTACCAATCCTGAAGATCCCTAGTATTAACACAGATCTTCATCTGGGGGAAAAGTTCGTATTTTCAGTCTATCAGCATTGTACAAGTCAAATGCCTGCTACACCATCAGCAAAACACAGCAGACCTAACATCCAGTAAAATGAGCATACAAGAACTATTTTCACTGGTACCATCAATAACATGTTCTACCAGGATACCAACTAAGTTTGAATCCTCAGCCTCCTTACGTTTCTCCATCCAGCCCGTCTTCTTTTTCAATGATTGTAACAGTTTGATTGAAGACAGCATCTTGAAACACATTGCCCTATAACAAAGTTTCCACATAACATTTTAAATTCATTGCTTGAACACATACACAAACGTTTATCTCACGTTCTTAGAAAAACGCTAGAAAGCAGTAACTCCCACATGAGACTTGATTAATCAAGTTTGTAAGCAGTGCAAATTTGCCTCAACATATAAAAGCGCAAACTTTTTGGTGTAAGTACAAAGAACAGTCTTGATATTATCAAGGAAGTCACATCTAGCCTTCAGTATGTTATTTCCTATAACATGAAATATTACTTATGAAGGGTTCTTATTAGAACCATCAAAACAACAGTACAGAACCCTGTTAAACTTTGACCTGCACTAAAAGAGAAAAGAATCCCATTTTAATTCCCATTTATGCTTTTGGATAGCCTTCCCCCAGATTGCAACCACTGGTCAGTTATTTGCTCAATGTCAAGTTTGGAGATGGGATTCAGGTTGCTGGGATTCAGTTTGTTCGCAAAGCCCAATTTGAAAAGCACAGTGAAATTTAAGTTATCCCAAAGATAGCTTTAGTTTTTTTGGCTTTTTTCCCAAATGACTACAGCCCACTACTACTCAGTTCTACTGGTATTCTAGCTCCCACTGCTGACATAACTTCAAGTATATACATAACTAAGTGTACACGAGGGGCTATTGTGAAACACGTAGACAGTTGCTTACTGTACTTCTGTTATCTACTGATTTGCTTTAAAACCACAAAGGCAATCACTGACTGAAGAGGCAACAACTTGACTAAGCAGTTCCTTCCTGACATTTCCACATCAACTAGAAAGATTAAAATGAATTACAACATCAGGCTTACGTTTGTATCTCTGTAGTTGAGATTGATAACTAGTCCGAAAGGACGACCACCCATAGGCTCAGCAGGGATGAAAGAGTACTCAAATGTGGCTTGTCTCTGTGGTGGAACTACTGTATTCAGAGGCAGAGCTGTGAAGTTCTGGATATAAAACTGGTAGTCTTGAGGATATCGGAAAGAAGCATCAAGAGACTCGACAATGAAATCCTCTGTACCCTTATTGGTGAAGCCCACCAGAAATTTTACAATGTTGTTCGCTGGGAAGTCTAGAACACAAAAAATATTCAACCATTAGAAACTTCATACACCACACCTAGCCTGCTTCTAAATGGAGTGTCTAGAACAGATTCTGGTTTTGTAGAGCTTTACTGTTCTACGCACATGTTGATACAGCCTAAGCAACAGTAACAAAGATGGTAGATTAGCACAGGACTCTTACCTTCACCTTTAACAAATAAGATGGTTGTATCCGCACTAGGTGAGGCTTTAGGTTCTCCTGACAAGTCTTCCTCCTCTTTTTCTTCTGTCTAAGACAAGAAACTTTTTTGAAAAATCCTATAACAAACAGTGAAGCAAAGACCATGCTTGTTTCACGAGAATCCCATGTGTCAAAGCAAGCGCTAGTATCAATTCCTGCAGTTGCAGGATTAGCACAGTCTGCTGTTCTTCTAGATTTGATTAGCATGATTTTCAGCATTGATCCTTCTATTTTTTGTATTTGACACAGTGACTAATCTCAACTGCATTTAGGTATATTGAAAGGTTTCTTATCAGAAAGCAACAGTAAGGTCTCTGTTTGGAGGCAGAAGGAAAAGCATAGAATCTAAATGTTGGATGTTCACATCTAAGCTATTTCTATTTAGAAAACAAGCACTGCCAAATAAGGCAAAGGAGAGTTACTTTCACTGCAGAGGGAGTGCTTACAGAAGCTTACTACTCAGTTTTAATTAGTTAAGTGTTATGTATGCCTGGAAACAGTTAGACTGCTGGAACTAACCAAGTTTACAGATTCACTTGTTGAAGCTCACCTTCGTGATGATTCACTTTTTAATTTGGCAAACATAAGCACTGAGGGCTTATTTTCCACATGGGGATCATGGGATCACCACCTCCCCCCACCAAATAACCATTTTGAACCTTCTGAACTAATTGCTTGCGAGTTAGATCATCCAATGTCACTGCTTAAACAGCCGCTTGAAGCAGTGGAGAGCCTACTGCATCAGTCATAACACATACCATGATCCAAGGAAGCCATGAACCAGAGCTGAGCACCCAGCATCTTGATTTCAAGGTGGCATGCAAAACTATCTTCTATTTCAGTGACAAATACACAAAATTGTCTAAAAAGTGTAATGTTTTGTACGCAAGCCACATACACTTTATTAGAAGCAAGTTACAATGAAAGGGTTATTCAATAATACTCTGTCAGTACTGAACACCTAGCATACCTGTACCACTTAGCAAAGCTGGTCAACCATAAGCTCACCAACTTACCAGCATCAGTAAAAAGATACTAGAATCAAAGAACAGTTTACCAGGTCTCCATTTTTATTACGCATCTTCTCCTCCTGACAACGTCCCAAACTTTCTTATATTACAACAGAAATTTGAGAAATTTTCATATCATTTTAGGTACACTAAGTGTCTAGCAAGCCTAATACTCCACTGCTACAAGCAGACCACATAACTATGTAAAGCATTTCACTTTGTCAAGCTGAAGTAAGAGACCCCAAGCAGCAATATGGCCACCGATATAGCAGGCATACACTGCAACAAGCATCAGAGACTAGGAACGCAGTAAGCGAAAACAGGCTGCAAAACAAGGTTTTCAGAATTAATACTCAGCTCAACTGAGAACTAAGATTCTGTTGCCCCTTGAAAACTGACACCAAAGCCAGAATGAAGTAGTCCTACACCTCAGTGTCATTCTCAGTTTACTGAGATGCAGTTTAAGCTGGAAAAGAACTACACGGGGCTCCTAAGAGCATCTGCTTCTCTCAGTCAGGTGGTCTTTTTTGCGAACAGCAGTTTTGGGAGTCAGAAATCAGGCTGGTTTTTTCAACTGGTAATTCAGGAAAAAAAGACAAATCCTTCTGAAACTTCAAACTGAACACAAGTTTAACTGGAGACTTTGAAACAGCTGTTTGGAAATAGCCATGCTATTAAACTCATATTTGAATCTATGTAAACTATCTAGCTTCAAGCACTTTTGGTCTATTTCATACTTATGAAGTAACATTCATGTACAATTACCAAGTCTGTTGGCTCATCTTCTTCAACTTCAGCTTCATCATCTTCATCTTCAACTATAGTATCTTCCACAGCTTCCTCATCTTCTGTAGCATCCTGAGCTGCAACTAATAAACCTGAACCTACCAAAACACAATGCAAATACAAGAAACTGACACTATAGTACAATTTTCAACCTAACATTTTAAGAATTTTAACTTTCTGAACTACTCATTTATGTGCCACGATGTTCAAAACCAAAATGTTTACATCTGTATAACAAAGAGTTCAGCATTCACACATCAATGCTTAAATTCGCAGAGGGCAACCAACTTGCCTTAAAAGCTGTGGGGTTTTTTTTGTCACCATATCAAAACATTTTCATTTTGTTTTGTCATTACAAACATGAAAGTAAAAAGACATTGCTATTGCCAGAAACTTAATTTAATGACCACTGTTTCTTCTAAGACTAACAAGCTTGATAAATGGTTATCACATCCTTTTCATCTGCTGGTATCAGAACACTGTGCTTTCACAGGTAGTTAAAAAGTTATTTCTGCCCTTATCTTCATTGAAGTTTTAGTATGTTTTAAAAAAAGTCCTTTTCAATATGACCTCCTCAGTATCATACACTAGTACATCTGCATGTTCAACAGAACCCCAACACTATTCAGAAGAGAAACCCGATCTGGAGCACTGCTCCAGAGCAAGGCTTGAAGAAAAGGGCAGTCTGACAGTTCCTCACCTCTCTGCTTTTGGGGAGCCGAGTCTCACACATTCAAACACCAGGCAGATGCCATTAACACAAACAGCGGCCACAGGACAAAGTTCTGTCTGTTCGCAGTTTAGAGCGCACGCAGGCTAGGCGGAAAATTTTTAAAACATATGCGCCAAACTACTAATTATTGTGGTTTTTTTTTTAAAAAAAAACCTAACATTTTCCAAAAATGAAAGAGTAGAAATGAACAGGTGATTGATTTACATAAGCCTGAAAAAGATCTAATAGCCATAAGCATATATTTAAAATAAACAAAAACCTTCCTGGGGAGTAAGAATCCTTGAACAGGACAAGAACACCCAGGGACCTTGGGACTGTCAGTCACAGCTAGAAAAAGCAACCCCCCACCAAGTGTCTTTAGAAGGTACACTCAAAGACTTCTGTTCAACCACGTGCGACACTTAATCCAAGACTAACAACAGTGATTTTGTTTGCTGAAGTCTTCAACTTCTAAGTCTCCAAATAAAGATTTTTTTTTCTCTTTTATTATTAAAACCTCCGTGTGCAAACAGACTATAGGCATCGTTCACCAGCAGCCGCGCTGGCACGTTCCCCGAGACCTCCAGTTCGCGGTCTGCCCGGTGGATGCCGGCAGGGCTGATGATGTGGCAACAGCGGGAGCAGAGAGCGGCGGCCCCGGGGAGGAGAGGGCTCAGGTCCGGCCAGGGCCGCGTCCCTCCGGCCTCTCCCGGCCCGGGCTGGCAGCTACCGAATCACCGGGGTAACCGGCGCCGTCCGACAGCGGGAGCAAAGGAGG